ACTGCTGCCATTTAGTACCGCATGACCTGCAGCAAGACACTTCCCTTGGTCCGTTTCCTCATTTACAAAACAAGAGGTTTGGGCTAGATGGCCTCTAAGATGCCATTCCTCAGGCTCTAAGTCTAAGATTCTATGACTACTCGCTAATATGGACTCCCCAATGTTTCCAATTCAACAGATATTTACTAAGTAAAAAATAAAGGATCCATCCCATAAACTAGGTTCACCTTCCCCCCCGACAGCCAATGCTCTCATTCCATCCATTATTACCACTCTCTCTGACGCTGGCAAGAAGTACAGGGTGAGGCTGGAGATAATGATATGACTTCTCAGTGTGCCCTCTTGCCTGTAAAAAAGTAGAACGAGGCAAAACAAGTCCACCAGCTAATGCATGCCATATGTTTCTTATTGGCAAGAAAGAAACATTTTTCAGTCTGGCATTGCCATTCTGTAGTAGTAACAGAGTTGGGGAGGGGAGGAATGTCAGTATCACTGCTGTGATTATAATCATTGTGCATATTGAGGTTTACAAGAACATCCATATTGTATGTGGCCCTTTTTATTTGCAAGACACATGGGACTTGCCCTGATGCCAGCTTTCAGTCCACTCCTCACTGTGTTTCTAGTGATTTCCTGAGAGTTATTGCAGCTTTAAGACAATTTGTAGAGCCCATTACTCGTTAGTGCAGATTGGGTGAGCTGATGGGAACTTGCAACTGAAGACCTGATGAGATTTGAAAAGGTAACTGGAAATGGTGTCCAGCAAGGGGTAATGACCATCTGAGAGGCACAACTCTTTGTATTGCGTGGTGGCAAGGTGGGTGAACACTCATCACCCTCCTCAGCTAGGAGTAAAAGCTAAGGACTTTCTGTTAGGAAGGATGTCAGAAGTTTCCTGTGACCCTTCTGTGTTCCAGCCAAGGACAGCACATTATAACAGAATGGAATATGTATTGACTAGCTTTGAGACATACAGACCTGGGTGATCTCTCTTTTTGAGTGGTAACATTTCCCCAAGAGGCAGGTAGGTGGCATGGTGGATTCCTAGTTTGGAATCAGGAAGGCTCATGTTCATGAATTCAAATCCAACCTCAGATACTCACTAGCTGTGTGACCATGAGCAGATCATTTAACCTTGTTTGCCTCAGTTCCTCATCTGTAAAATGAGGTGGAGGAGAAAATGGGAAACCACTCCTGTATCTTTGTCAAGAAAAATCCAAATGGGATCACAAAGAGTCAGACACAACTGAAACGGCTGAACAACAAAAACATCCTGAAGATTGAACATCAAGATCCAGGCAAAAGCTTTCCAACTTTGAGTAGGCAGACAGACTGGTAGAATGAACCCTCTCTCCCCTGGGGTTTGAGTTTTCCAGAGATTTGTTCAGAGAAAAGACCCATAGACTCAATTACCCTGTGAACCTATGGGAGATTGTAATCATTTGTGGATGGACAACTGAGAAAGATCCTATGGCTTAACTTTTCCCTGTAACACTTCACTATTTGATTAATGGTTTCTGCCTAGTCTGTTTGGAGCAGGAACTGGATGGAGACTTAAGTGTTTATTCCCCTTATACTGCCTTACATTGATTTCAGTGGAAAATCCTGGAGCGGAGCACGGGCTACACATTTTAAAAGAATATGAATATAGGAGGTAAGAATAGGTGATGATGCAGAGTTCAGGTGAAGAAGCTTCCATCTGCTGGTTTTCATCTTCCTGCCCTCTCCCGCTTCTACACAAGCTGTCTTCATTGCTCTCTTTTTCTCTGAACTCCTCCACGGATAATCTTCCCTACTCAGCTACATGATTCCTCCACCCCTTAATTGAACCTCTCCACCCACTCTCATAAGCCTTACAAACTTAATCATTTTTATCCAATGTTATGTTGCTTGTTTACATGTTTCGTCTCCCTACCACAATAAACTTCTTGAAAGCAGGTATTGTCACTTTTTCTCCACATACCCAACTCTACCGTGCATTGTTCCTTGTGCTTACTAAGTATCTAGTTAACATTTGTCTATTTTTATAATTGGAAAATCAATAACTCAACAATTCTCCAGAAAGATTTTGTGGGGATTTCTTTTCCCCTCAATTCTAAATTACATTCTGTTCTAGAATATTCAAATATCTCTAACAAGAAACTTTAAGGTCTATTCAGTGTGCTAACTCTCCAGATCTCTAGTTCTTTGCACAGACTAGACATTCAGTTAAGTATTGTCTAGTGTAGACCTTAGAAAGTATGCTCAATTTTTAAAAAGCTATTATAGATTCAATTAGAACTTACAGGAGACTTGTAAATGAGCCCAATTATGCATATTTTCCCTTTCTTAGAGCAAATAAAATAGCTAGGAACTTCAAAAAGAATTGCATAAAAGTAGATGATAAACACTAGACTAAATAATAGCCTAATTTAAAAGTACAGGAGTTGATTCTGGACCGTTTACATCTTTCAGAGTTCTGCTAGACAATAACAGAATGAATTCTAAGTAGACCAATTTCTTCTATCATTCATCTCCTATAGATCTCTATATCTTATTTGTACTAATTAGCTAACTAAACATTAACCCAAATCAGTTACATATAATTTTTTCAAATAAATTGGGACTTTTCCAATAAGAATACTTCTAATGCCTTAACCATTTTTTTAGGCTTGTAACAGAGGCCTTTTTGACCCTTCCAACTGTATTTAACTATCATGAATCATAATTCATCAATCAGTTTTAGCAAGAAATGTTCAACCCCTCAACAAGTTTGATTACAATGCCTTTAATTTTGTTGGGCTCCTTTACAGCACAACTCAAAACCTCACTTGAAACAAAATTATCTTGGAAGGACTGGCTCTCTGGTTATTTAAAATAAAACAAACTCAGCAGGAAATAAGGTCTTACATTTTCCTAAATCAAAATTTAAATACAAACTATATTCAATCACCAGCAGTTTCTCTATTACCTACGTATTTTTAAAGCCTTGCAAATAGTTTGTACTCAACAAATGTATTTTTTAATTTCCATAATTTAAAAGCTATATATCCTTTATTACCAATTCAGATGTTATTCACCAAAACATAGAATATTCCCATGTAAGTTTTCATAGTAAAGAAAAACATGAATCAGCAGAAGGATGATTTATTATTTCAGGGGAAATTCCCCAATGGAAATGCCATTTTAAGTCTCCTTAAAAAAAAAAAAAACTATTAAAAACATTAACATAACAATCTGAACCTTGTTTCAAGCTTATTCCCAATACTTTTCTTGATACAAATATTTAATTACAAAAGTGCTTTACGTATTTTCTCACTTGATCCTTACAATCATCCTGTTAAACAAGAAGTACAAATATTAGCCCCATTTTACAGGAGGAAGCTGAGATTGAGAGGTTAGGTTACTCGTCCAAAGACACACAGCTAATGGACTGAAGTGCACCATAAAACGGGAAGATTTTTTTTCATGTGGGCGTGCATACTTCCAATGTTTCAATAGTCCATAGGCACTATGGAGGAAACAATCTCTTGGCCTTTTAAGAAGTAAAAGTGTGGTATGGCTAATTAATTTGTTCAGATGTGCTGATAATGGCTCACATTTATATGGGATGTAAGGTTTACAAAGTACTTTCATCCCAAGGACAAGGTGAGGTAGGCAGTAATGCTGTGTGTCTATCCCAAAGGAAAGTGGTTTCTTTCTCCCAACTGGGAAGAACTCATTAGCCATTTCACAGTCCATTGTAGTGCCTGCTTAGGACCTAATAAGTAATTCTTCCCTAGAAGGCAGAGGATTATGGGAGCTGGTTAGAAGAATGGAAGGAAATGCCTGAGTAAAAAGGAAGATTTGACATGTTTTTTAGATACGTCTGAGGTGAAGAAAAGGGGACTGTATGTCCTCTAAGATGTATCAGCCAAATGAATAGTTGAATAAACAGTTAATACCACAAATTAAATACAGTCAACATGTGACCTCAGAGTAGCTGAGTTCAATCCCAACTCTCGACACCTATTGGTTGTGTGACACTAGGAAAACCCTTAACGTCTTAAAGCCCTGGGAAGTTCTGTAAAACCTTAAAATATAAAGGTGCTGATCTATATTAATAAAATCAGCTCCTCACCTGGAGCTCCCTATAAAAATGAAATCACATGTAAATTTTTTCTTTTAAATCAGAAATATGCACTCTGAAAATAATCACTTCTATCCTGGCAAAATTATGAAAATCAGCTTTAGAAAGTCAGTGGAGTTGTGACAGAAATGGAAACTAAAACGGATAAAAGAATCAGCTGACCAACTGAAGATATCTTTTTCCAGTTTGCTCTACATATATAAGCTAAGGGCAGATAGAGAGAATCTATATGAAGACTATATATGTTTATATACATACACATACTATGGTTTATAACGTCAAGTGTTTTATCTTAGGAGTAATCCCAATTACACATTAACTCACATGGCCTTACCCCACAAGACTTCCCGACTAGTAGGCAGTAGAGGATTGGAGGCACAAAGGATAGGGGAACTGTAGCTGTAGTAGTCAATGTAACAACCATCTATGTCCAGCCAGCCCCCAACTCAGCTAGGGCTTAATGCAGGGTATCTGAGATTTGGGAAGTGGAGTCAGATGGACAACTCTGTAAATCTGCAGGAGGGGATACTTCTATTATCAAGCCCTATGGATTTGGCATAGCAGGCATACAAGGGATTATTTCCTTAACTATCTATTTTAGACATGATTCAGTTGTGATTTTAGTTATCTTACCTTTAACAATAAATAACACTATTTCACTTAAGAAATTACGTCTATACTTGGTGTCTCATTTATTTTTACGTCAACAGTTTCACACAAAAAGCAAGACTCCCAAAGTTCTTTAAGATGCATCATTTACTTATAAACCAAATTTATTTTATTAATAAAAATGCTGAATACTTATTGCAATTAAGAAAATCCTCATTAATTATGCCTTTAGTATTTCCATTATTTGTTTTCTTCATGAAATCTTTATCTATTAAGTAAACAATTGCCCAAACTGCATTAAAAATATGCAACTTTTTTTTTTTTTAAACAGTTGTCTCTAAGCCATTGGCAGTCACAACAAAAATTGCTTCATGTTATCATGTAAACAGTCTCTGCTAAAGCAAGGAAAGCATTGGAAATGTATGGGCATAAGTCTGGTTACTACCAACATTACCAAAGTTCACAGCTTATGGCTTTTCACAACACCAAGAATTTCACTTCATTTCAAACTAACACACAGTAACAACCTGGTTAACTAGCACCCACACCAGGGACTGGAACCCTCAAGCAAACTGCATCATATGTTACCCAGAAGTTCCAGGCAGAAAGCTATACAGCTTCCACCTGTGACTCAAGGTTTGCATCTATATGTACCTGACTGCAATCTTCTGGTTGAGCCACTTTAATTACTGTGATAATTCTAATTCTCTAGGGCCACAAACCAAAGGAACCTAATTCAGACCTGTCTGCAGAACAGATAGATCCAAAGCATGTATAGTAAAATGTTTGTTATTGGAGGATGCAATTTAGAGTTTGATGAAATTTTGTTTAACTATTTTCTCCCAAGAACTTCTAAAGTATTCTAGTATTTTAACCCAGTGCCGCCAGTACAGAAACTGCAATTTTGACCAAAAGGAAACATGGATTTAACTTTTAACCTACTGTTAACTAAAACCGAGGCAATCTTAAGCCTTAGGTTTTTACAGACTTTTTAACCAGGATTACTATACTAAGTGCCTTCCAATTGCCCACAATTTTTTCAGGACTTTTTGATTCAAACTTTATTTTTCAAAGCTTTTTCTCATGCACTTCTGATACATTTATGGACTTTGTGTGCACTTCTACTTATAAGTCAGTGGCAAGTTTATGTTGATTTTATTATGAAACTTCTTCCAAAGATAATTCTGTCACTAAAGTTGATCTGGCAGCTAAGCACTGATTAACCAATAGAATTGTGCACCCTCAGAAACGTTCCTGGGGTACAGGCCCCTTATTCAGAAACTGGAATATCCTTGCCCTAAGCAAATTCACTGCACAATTAGACTACTAATCAGTTAACCAAACTGCTCCATGATCAGACTATCCACGTTAAATGAGGTGTTACTATTCTTTGTTTCTAATTACACATCAAGTAAACAATTAAAGAGCATCAGACAAATCTTAGTTTTCATCTCCATCAAACTCATCCAATGTGAATAGAGGTCTTGTAATCGATTATGCCATCTTTAACTTTAGCTATTATCCAGTAGCTCAGATAAGGTATTGGCTAAACAGTAGGTTTGTCATACACCACTGCTTTCCTTCTAAGACCAAGCCATGCCCTTATCCTTCAAGCTCAATTATAGTAGTTTCAGTGTCTGCTAGGTTCCAAATTTCCAAGTTGGTATTAGTCCACATTAGCTAAAGGGATTTAAATTTGCAAGGTCTGGAGAATCCAAGAGAAAATTACTTTGTACTGGATAAGGGAAAGCTGGATCAAAGTAGGTTATCCTTCCTAATATTAGTGTTCCTCTTCAACCCATGGGCTAAGTTTTAAGCAGTATCCCTTGTGCTAAAAGGAACCTCCCAACTGAAACATTTACCTTATTTCCTTTCCCTTGAAGCTTAGAGAAGTGAAATTCAATCCTGATGAAATCAATAAGTCCAAGACTAGAATTTATAAACAGGTTACAATATTAATTATAATAGCAACTCACTTATTAAATTTGCGTTTATAAAAAATGGTAAAGTTATGAAAAAAGATCAAATATAATTTTTGTTAGGTAATCTTAATTCTTAACAAAGATTAGTCACTTAATTGTTCCCAATTATGCAATCACCATGTTAAACGTGCTCTTGAAGGTAAGTTTATCTCTGGTTTCCTATTTGCCACTTTTAAGGCCAATTTATAAAAAAGTTTAATGCCAACTACAAATTTGTTACCTGCTATCTCTCTATTTGATATGCACTAAATGAGGGTGAGTATGTATGCCAAGTATGGCCAATTGCAGTCTGTTTATAATTGAGCATGCAAATGAATTAGTTTATACCTGTGAGGTCCCTTCTAGCTCTTAATTTCCACATTACAAAAATGTTTAAGATGCCATTAAATAAATGCCATGGATGGGTTCTCAGGATAACATCTACTCCTTCCCTCTCAACAGATGACCTAACATTTACAAAGCAGAGCAGAAGGCATCCAGAGTAACAAACACGATGACCAGATATGGCTCTGTAGACTGGCCTGTAAGCTGTGGCAAGCTGGTACTATTTTCATACCATTAGTATCAAAGTGTAGACTGGTGGAAGCTTTTAAATAATCCCCCTTCAATGACACTAGGCATGCTCACCAGGATAGACTTTTTATAAAGGGGGGCAAACCATGCTGAAATCTTCAACTCTCAGTGACAATGCTAAGAAGTTATATAAAGATATCACAGGAAGGAAAGTTAAAAAAAAAAAAGCACTTAAAAGACACACATTTGGTTCACTTAAGAGGCTTTAAAAAGTTTTGTTACAGACTGGTTTACAGCATATAGAGGTATTTAGCCTTTAAGTGGAGAAAATTGCTAGTTACCTGTATGTAAAAAAAGAAATATGGGCATTCCTAAGTGACACTGAGTCACTTTTAGCTATTTTGTAAACCAGACTTCTAATATATAACGATATATGACAGTATTTTGCCAGTTATCAGACATACTCAGAAAAGATACAAGAGGATGTCTACATTTGAATCACATCAAATGCTTATTTGCATGAATGGAAGGCATATAATACAGAGTTCTTATGACTCTACAGGCACCTGGAAGTTTTAACTACCCTTCATGCTCTTCACTTTATATTCCATAAGAATAATGGAAATGCAGAGAATACTTCAAATAGATATTTTAAAAATCAAGACTATTTGAGGGTTTTTCAACTTTTATTAATAAGAAAGGTAATACTTCATTCAGGTGGCCAATTTAAAAAAAAAAAATTGTCACCCATTTACCTTTCCTTTCAGTTCTGTTTTCAATGTTGGCTCTTGTAAAAAAACAAAAACCAAAATAAACCTAATTTTTTGTAAAAGTTACAACCAAAAGCAAGTATCTCTTGCTTTCAGGACAAAAGAGGAGAGGGAGTAGGAAAAGGGAAAAGGATGGGGCAAATGAGATAAAATTCATTAAGTATAAAAATATGTTGCTCAAATTCAGAATAATAATTTAATAACTCTTTGTTATTTCATATGTATCTGGGAATGGAATAGAGACATGTCCTGATCCTGTCACAAGAGGTAGAATTCCAGCATTTGGTACAACATTCCAAGAGAGGGTTAAAGTAACATTCCTGTTTCCCCTGTAAAAAGACAGATGATAATCAGTGATCAGCAGAAACATTTGCAGTTTCATGACTAAAAATACTGAGATCTAAATCATTTTGTTTGTACACAGCTAGCTACTACTAGTAATATCTTCTTTGCCACTAAGCAGAATTCTTTTTCTACTTCATTTCAAATATAATATCAAGAGGCAATAAAGTCAGCAGCAATTTGCAGGTAATCACTGATGACCTATACCTTAAAACAAACTCATTAGCAGCCCCAATCAAAGCTTAAATAAGTGGCAGTATCTTAAGGTGGAAAGACTACTACTATGAGTCAAAAAATCTAGTCCCAGCTGTATAGTCTTGGGCAAGTTACTGAACCTCATTGACCCACAGTGCCTTACTGTCACAAAAGGTGGTTGACTTGAGGTAAGTACCCTTCCAGATTTAACATTCTATTGACTGTGCAAAGAAAGCTCGTGAGCTCCTAACAATTTCCCAAGTTTTCAATCATAGGTTCTACTATTGTCATGAGTTGACTCTGTAATTCAAGTAAGCTCCCGCACTTTCTACACCTTAAAAGCAGAAGCCACACCTCCAGGAAAAATACGGAGAGAACAGACTCCTTGTTTCCACTGCTACTACTCAGAATATGATCAAAAGGTAGGATCAAAGATGGAGAGTTTCTAGGGACCTCAGAACCCATCTAGCCCAACCCCTCATTTTAAAGATAAAGCAACTGAGGTCCCAGAGAAGCTCAGACTTGCCCAAGGTTACATGAACAGTTAGTACAGTCAGCAGCAGAGCCAGTGTTTGAATCTGAAACCTCTGACTCCAAATAAAGAATGTCCCCTATACTACAGCCCCTCTAACCGAAAAAAGTTATCTTCCTACAGTCTATAAGTTAAAATCTGCAAGAACATTATTTCCTCTCACTGTCTTCCTCCTTTTCCATACTGTAATACTTTTTCTTTCTCTCTCTTCTTTCACAAAAAACATGGTTAAACACTTAAAAAGGCATGAGTTGCTCACTTGAGACCATTTCCATCGTCAAAGAAAAAATATTTTGATTTCATATCTTTCAGCAGCAGCTTCGGATTATCGCCTCTCAGAATGATCTTGTCCCAAAGGACAACCTGGTTCAGAGCCTACATTGAAATGAGAATTAATTAGACAACTCTTCTAACATAACATCTGGTCAGTGCATATTAAAAGTAGCATTGATCCAAAGGAGACAGATTAGTAAACATGCAGTTTGACTTATTAATCAGCCTGACTTAAAGAAATCTCCACAATGTTAATATTAAAACATGAAAAACAAGTAAAAATGTGAAGACGACCCTTTGGGCCATAAGGATGAACTCTTGCAGGGAAATCCTAGCTCTTTCAAAAAGAATTTGTCAGTGACATAGCACTAAACTGCTACGTGGTTCTAATAAGGTGCCCGCCCAAGCACAACCTAGGAAGCTCCAGAGAGGCAGAGCAGTTCCCCAACTGAAGTATCTGTTACCATCTAATATTCTCTAACTTTCCTAGGCTCATGCTCTAGGTGCCTGGCTCCACTGGGAGTGACTATGGATAACTGAGGGTGCCCTGTCCCCCTCCCAACACTGTTAGAGGGTCCCAAATAGTGTCCTGAGGATTTATGGCTGTCTGCCAACTTCAGTCATCCCTCCTTGACAAGATGTTCCAGCATCATACAGGAGATGCTGGATTATCAGGGATGACCTGAAAAAAAAAATCAGTTTCCCAACAAAAAAAAAAAATCAGTTTCATACAAAAACATTTTAAAATAAAAACAATATAGTTACCATGTACTTCTCTCATGAACTCTATCAAGGTCAGTTCTCTGTTGCTTTGTACATGAACAACATCGCAATTTCCAAAATACAGATGAAAAGGGACTATGCAATAGTAGTCTTAATTCCTACCACACAACAGACTACTTTGTTTTTATCAAAGGAAAAATGAGCCCCCAGTGTTAAAGAAATGAAACAAAGGAAAAAAGTTTCAATGACATTTGCTTTACTCTGGAAATACAGGACTTTTCACTATTCTCTTCCATTCCTTAGCTTTGTCCTCGCCAGTTACTAAGTGTGTGGCAACTCTACCAACCACAACAAAAAAAAAATCCAAAAACTTATATTCTTTTCTAGAGTGCCGTACCATGACTACAAAACTTCTCTAGAAACAAACATTTGCAATAAAGGAATCTGAATCAGAGTACGGATCTGCCACTTAATAAATGAGACACTGTGGCAAAGTAACTTCAACCCTTTGGGTCTCAGTTTCCTCAACTGTAAAATGACAAGACTAGAACTAAATGCCTTGTTCTTCTAGCTCTAAGTCTCAGTGAACTTAATAGAAAAGTCCAGGAATGGGGCAACTAGATGGCACAGTGGACAGAGCACTGGCCCTGGATTCAGGAAGACCTGAGTTCAAATCTAGCCTCAGACACTTGACACTTACTAGCTGTGTGACCTTGGGCAAGTCACTTCACCCCACTGCCTCACCAAAAAACCAAAACAAAATAAAAAGTCCAAATTACAAAATCTAACCTTACTATCATCATGCCCAAAGCAATAGTCTTGACCTGATACCAAACCAAACTGAAACTCATTAGTTACCCTGTCATAGTTACCTATGTCATTAGAGTAAACTTGAATATTTCTCAAAAATTATTCATTTGTTCCTGCCATTCCAGCTACAAAGAAATTACTACACAGGAAGAAAATCCAGGTGAATTACTGAGCTTCCTAAATGTTCAATTATTATGCTGGTGTTCACTCTTTTGCTCTCATATCTAGTTTATGAATTGTTTTGTTTCAAATTTATGTTTTATGGGATCAGGTTAAAGCAACCAACCAAACTGAAATGTGAAGACAGTCACACGATATGCCAAAATGGTAACGGCTGCTCAACATTAGCCACTGTAAAAGAATAGTTCATATGACATATAATAATCAAGACCATCTTTACCACTCTTCCTCAAGGTACAGCACCAAAATCAAGTTTTATATTATGGTAAACCAGACACAAAAGAAATATATTTACACTTTAATTCTACTTTCTAAATAATTTTTAAAAGAACCATTACTTTTATTAAGCTCTACATAAACCACGCTGTGATCAGAACTCTTATGGTGGCTTTTCTAATTGGTTCCATGAAAATACAGTATCAAGTGAACAACATGCTAGGTGGGTGTCAGTTTCACTGAAATGATGTCAAAACTGAGCAGTAAGCCAATGAATATTACTAGCAAGGTTCTGCATTTTCATGGTAGAGGCCGATTATAAGGTCTATTTTTTTTTTAATGAGTTCTTTGTGATGTTATTGCACAATGAGTCTTGGTCTGGACAATATTATAAAGCATGAACTTACTCCCTGGCATGTTTGTTAAATTAAGCATAGTTTTAAGTATATGAATAATAATAGCTAATATTTATATAGAACTTTATGGTTATCAAAGTGCTTTACAAACATGATTTTACTTGATCATTCAAGAACGCTGTAGGTTATACTCATTTTACAGATGAGAAAACTGATGGGAGAGCAAATGACATGGCAGAGGGTCACACAGCTAGTGTTTGAGGCAAGGTTAGTACTAAGATTTTCCAGACTTTAGGACTCTATCCATGGTGCCACCTACCAGTCCATGTATATACCAGGCAATGTGGGCCACTTTATTTGGCCTAATGGTTACATTTCTAGGAGAACTAATGTAATCAATAGATATTTCAAGTAAAATGATTTTAATACCACTAATTTTAACACAACTACAAATGTACATCAACAATTATTAAAAGCTTATTGATAGAAAGCAATGTATAAAATAAAATACTAACATAAAAAAGCAAGAAGACTAAGGCACGATCCAAGCGCAGTTATGACTTTGTGATTTACTATCTATGCTATCTCAGTTACCCCTAGCCTTCCCTCAAGGTAATTAAAGGTGGTACTTGCCTCACTATATATTACTTTTTTAGACATCCAAATTATGGTATTTTTGTTTATCAAATGGAAAATTCTGATAATGTTCATTTATTCTAAATATTCAACTTAAAGAGAATACTCCAAGGCCTCCAAATCACATAAACATGGAAAATCATGAACACAGTATTTGAGACCTTTAAAATATCAACCACTAACTTTTATAAAAAGCTGATATGTAATCAAATATCTGAAATAAAATTTTCAGCTAGGTATTTCTACTCCTTTGAGAACTCAGTCTCTAATGCATTTCAAATAAGCAAAGGTAACATAGGTCCATGGTCCCCCAGCTCCCCTCCAAATCTACCTGAAAAATGAGTGGTCTATCCTAAACAGTCTTGTACCTACCTCACAGAGTCATGAGAATCAAATTAGGTAATATGTGTAAAGAAAGGGTTTTACAAATCTTAAACCTAGAGACCACTTACTAGACCCACAGTCCCAAATGAGTGGCAGAGAAGGGAACTGGAAAGACAGCCTAGCATCGCTATGTCATGTTCTCATAGCTGTATCTCTGAGTTTGTTACCCATATGGTACAAATAACTTTTTAATTTTTATAGGGCTACAAGTCATACAACTCTTCTCCTACAAAAGAAGTAAAAGGATTCAATGTTAATTTTAAGTAGTTTGTAAAGCTAATACACACTTCTAAATATATATGATATAGGTACTTACGTTATTTTTTGTTGAATACTCTGCTGATAAATATAGAAACAACTGCTTTACATTCCAATCAAATATATTCTCTAGATGTGAAAAAATTAAGGAACAAAAACATATAAAACAGCATACAGCTTTGTCAGTTATCAATTATTCAGAGCAGATTTCTAAGAGTAAGAGTAGATTTCTGACATAAGAATGGCCTCCTTCAGTCACACAATATGCTAGTTCATTTCTCCCTTCTGTTAATAGGTGTATCAAAAGATCATAGGATCATAGATTTAAAGCTGAAAGGGACAGGAAAGATTGTCAAAGTCCAACCCTTCTTTTTATAGACAAGAAATTGAGGTCCTGAGATTAAATAACTTACTCCAGATCACTTAGGTAGTAGGTAGCAAAATGGACTGGAACCTATGCACTGGAACCCAAATCTGGTACTCTTTCCACTGTAACATATTGCCTCTTGGCACCCAAAGTAATTTCTTTTGTCTGAAAATTTTTTTTTAGCTAGACTGCTAAATCTGGTGCAAAAGGAGAGGAAAAAACCTGACAAATGCCAGAGATTTTTTGGATTTTTAGATTAATCAATGCCCTCCTCCACTCAACCACCACAAAAAGGAGAAGGCAGCACAGAATCATAGAATTCTTAGGCAACACAGAGATCATCTAAGTTATTATTACAAAGGAGAAAACTGAGATCCATAGGTTGAAATTACTTGCCTGAAATCACATCCCAAATTGATGCTATCTGGTTGAAACTTGACAGCAAAAGTAAACTTTACTTTCATGGATAAATAAATTACAATCTGTTTACCAGTTTTATGGAAATATTAGTACCTACCTCACAGAGTTATTGTGAAAATCAAATGAGGCAACAGGTGTAATGGGCTTTACAAATCTTAAAGCAATAAATAAATATTTACATTTACAGTTACATTTAAGATGAGAGGCAGCATCATATGGGGAAAAAGAGTCAGACTCTGAAACAGGAAAATCGGGGTTCAAATCCTGCCTCTGATATACACTGCTTGTGTGATCCTGGGGCAAATTAATTGCCCAGTGCTCAGAAACACTCTAAAACTATGTTGGAGAGTAGATGTGTACATATGTTGGTAAAGGCAGTCTCATCACTGGTATAACTGCTTATACCAATAAAGTTGCAAGCCCAGTTCAAAAAGAAAAAAATGAAAAGGTCCTACTACACTATGTGTATTGTGGATCCTATTCTTTTTCTAAACCAATCACTGTATAATAATTCTACTATAACATTTTAAACTGAGCAAAATATTTCAAATACATTTCAAATATTTCCAGCACTTAGCCCAGTGCCTGGCATATAAGTAAGCACTTAATAAATATTAATTGACTGACTAAAATAACCAGATCAAATGTGTCTTGAACTATGTGTTATTTTCAATAGATTATAGTTATTTTCAACTAGATCTTCAACTAGCTTCTTTTTTATATCCATACCCTGGGATACTCTGGTAAAACAAAAGATCTTGGATGACCTAATTAATGCCCTGCCCCCCCCAAAATAAAAATTTCACAAGAATGGAAAGACCAGTGTTTCTACCAAAATCAAATAATTTTGTATCTATTATATTTATATGCAAATGATACAGGCCTTTTACAAAACAGACACTTCTACAGGTTGTAATATGTAGACTTTGTTTTAGTAAGCTTACAAATACACACATCACCAGCCACCGATTAGACAAAAATATCTGAATGAACCAAGGGATAAAAATATGTAAATGAACTAGATGGGGCAATCTACTTTTAATATCAAAACTCTCAGTCTAGCCCAAATCCCTTCTCAGCAGTGTTGGGTTAAAGATGACCATGGAGACCTGAAAGCAGGTTACAGAAAATACTCAGTGTAACAAATGAACTTTTTTCCCCCTCTTAAATGTGAGTCCTACTTTCACAGTAGCTGCCTATAGACCAAAGTTGCAGTCTATTGATCAATCTAGACTACTGGTAAGATACTAGATCTGGGGCAAAAGAGAAGATCTTCTGTTTAAGTCCACTTACAGAAAGGGTTCTTAACCTTTCCTGTGTCATGGAGTCCCTTTGGCAGTCTGGTGAAGCCCATGAATCCCTTTATACAAAAGAAAATAACTAATTAAAATGAATTGTAGGGGCAGCTAGGTGGCAAAGTGGATAGAGCACCGGCCCTGAAGTCAGGAGGACCTGAGTTCAAATCCAGCCTCAGACCAAACACTTAACACTTACTAGCTGTGTGACCCTGGGCAAGTCACTTAACCCCGAATGCCTCACAAAAAAAAAAAAAAAAAAAAGAATTGTAAAGGAAACCAATTATACTATAATACAATTATTTAGAAAGAAAAAAAAACCTTTTTTTTAAATTTACAGACCTCAGTTTAAAAATACCTGATGTAAAAAAAATATATATGATTGATCCAAACTCTCAGACCCATTTTTAGTTTGGGGGATTCAGGTGGTGGAAGGGGACTGTCTCAATAAAACAGATGAGACCAAACCTAAAAGTGACTGAGACACTACCAAACAAAGACTGGACCAATAAATGGGGGGGGGGGGGGGGAACCTGTTTCATTTGTCAGGAAGGTATGGCTGGCAGAAACCAGAAAACTGGAGAACACAGATAAGCTGTTAAATCCAATCACAAAATGACTTCTGCAATTTTAAATAATTCTGTGATTTTACAACCACATACTCCATAAAAGGATAGTAACTGTCAACTGAGACAGTTAACTGACCAATCATTTAGATACTGAACTGACACTACAAACATGTAACCTAATGTTACATAAGCAAACTGCTTATGTTACTGCTAGATAACACTGCTACTGTAACAGCACTGATAGCTTCTGGGTGAAAGGATATAAAATGCACTTTCTACATAGCTTGTGTATTAGTAATTCTCCTCACCCCAATTTTGTTCTAAATGAAAGTTTTACGGTTTCAAAATCTCATTTTTGATCGATTAGATTTATATAATGTGTCTTCTGAACAATTCCAGGCATTATCACATTTTTTTCTTGAATTGTTTAAAAAAAAAACTAACCTACTGATGTAGAGAGAAAGTTATAATAAATATTTTACTAATGAAGAAACTAGTGTACAGAGATTAAAGTATTTTTTTTTAAAACAACACACAAGTTGGAGGCAAATTCCCAATTATAATCCAGGTCCTCTGAAGCTCTTATCAGAGGTTTGTTTTGTTTTTTACTAGAATTTTTTTTAATATTGCAATGCAGCTTAAAACAAATTTGAAATCACTGAAATTGATGTATACTTTTAAAAAATATTTTCATAAAGGATATCAGCAGTTACATCAAATGTAATGAATCCCAGATCACTCCGTTCTCTAGGTCCTGTGAAGTCTTCTACATTTTTTCTGAAAATAAACGTAAATTTTATAATCCTTCAACCACAGTAAGTTACACAATTTCTATGTCTAAAATTGCTTAAGAGAAGAGTTGGATATCCTTGTCATACACACACACACACACACACATATATAAATGCAACACAAAGCAGCTTATTCCAAACATGTGTGAGGGTGTCTACTGACCAGTTTTATGCTATATATCAACTTAATAGACATATCAACTTAAAGTTAGGGGTACATGGACAAATAAAAATACACTAAAAATCTAATAAAAAGATAGGTATTAATTAAGCTCAACTGAAAGAAAAGGAAAAAAGATAAACCGTACAAAGTAAACACCAAGGTAGGTCATCAGCTATCTTTATATGCCTTAAGAGTTCCTGAAAAAAAATTTGAGAAAGACTTGGAAATTAGACAATTTCATAAATGAGTAGAATGTGCTTTCATTGAAGAAGACGTAGAAAATAAAAGTAAATTAACCAATGGCTAAGGACATCAGAGCAAACCAAACCAATGGGGACACGGGAGAGGTGGAAGAATAAGGGTCGTTTAGAGGAGCCGTCAGAGTTGAACATCTGACAGGAAAGGTCCAAAGTTAATGCTGAGAGCAACAGGAAATCAGTCTTGACTATGTAGAAAAGAGATGAAAGAGAAAAGAATGTTATGTTTGTCAAAGGAGAAATAATCATAGAGCAGAGGACTGCTTTAAAAAGAAAGCTGTTTTCTAAGACAACAGACAACTGCAGCAATAACTTGCCAGTTTTCCATTTCGTAGTGAACATTTCAAAATTTGCTCAAAATCTCCATCCTAAAATCTTAGCACAAGCTTAAATAAAACTAGGGAGAAAAAAGGATCAACCCTTCCCACAAAATACACGGCTGATTTCCAAAAACCTCAGCAGGTGCGCATCTGGGATACGAACAAGTAAAATTTTAAAAGAAAATATTAAAAGGGACGGAAAGAGTTTTAAACTATGGTTATTACAAAAACAAGCCCAATTCAAACATATTTAAGAGTCGGAAAGATAGCTGGGAAAGATACCAAGGTCTAAGTGAAAAAAAATCATAATACCAAGGCTTTAAGGGATCCCAAAGCGCTTTGCCTACATTGGGGGGGAAGTTCCTGGGCAGAACACAGGAATGAAATCACCGATACACGAAATCAGAAATAAACCCAGGGAGGAGTGCAAACAGGAACCACACTCTGGCGGGCACACTGCAGATGCGCCAGGAGCGGTAGGAAGGGGCAGGCGCCTGGGAAGAGCCGGAGTCGGCTGGTGTGGGGCTCCCTCATTGGCCCGCGCGGGGGTGGAAGGAAGTGAAGGAGCAGAAAGCAGGGCTGCAGTGGCTGACCTGAATTAGGGGAGCACAAGGAGCGTGCCCAGAACTTGACCCGGGCTCGGCGAGGGCGTGAGAGGTGTGGGGGAGGAAGGAGGAGGCCGGCCCCGGGTAGCGGGGGGAAGCAAGCAGTGCAGCGCAGCCCAGCCCGGAGCAGGGCAGGAGAGGCTCCCCCCGCCCTCCGACACACACACACACACACACACACACACACACACACACACACACACAC